ACAGCACTGCAGATGGGGCCTCACTGGGGCAGAGCAGAGGGGAGAAGACCCTCCCTCGACCTGCTGGCCAGGACACTGGGTTTTGTTAGGCTCAGAACTAAACTAACAGTCCTGCAGGTACCCAAAACCAGTGCAAGTGAACAGGGGAGAGGAGTGGGATCTCCCACGCTGGCAGCAGCCAAGCACAGCTAAGCCACTCTGGTCCTACGTTCAGCTAACGTCACGAACGCACGCTCCCCAGGCAGTCAGAAGTTCATTCACCTTCTTGCAGGCCACCAACAGGCTTGAGGGCTACTTTTTAGAAGGCTTCTAAATTCTCTGCAGTTATTCAGGGGAAGTTTCAGCAAGGAACTGGCAGTCAGCAACACATGATCACTGGTACTGCCAGAATCTGGAATTTCAGACTGAGCTACCAAACCCAAGGAGATATGACCCAACAGTTGCACTCGTTCGAGCATCACCAAGACCTGCCATGATGCTTTGCCAAAAACTCCAACTGCAGAGCTGCTACAATGCAGATACACAGTAACCGGCCCCAGAGAAGACAACATTTAGGAGAAAGGCTCCATAACACACGCACGTGGAAGCGACATTCTCCAAGAAGCTGCTCAGCAAGGGGAAACTGAAGTCATGAGGGTGTACAACAAGGGCTCACCTGAAAGGTGACCAACGCGGAAACCACGGGAGGTTTAGGGAAGGCAAAAGAGTTTTGGTGTACCATGGCAGACCCAACACTTGTCAGACTGTGCATACTTGGGTAAGGAAGAGGAAAAAAACACGGTTGCTGGTGGTATCACCCTCTCCAAAAAAAAAAAAAAAAAGGAAACAATAGCCCAGCATGCTGATCCAGAGTTCAGGAAAAAAATAATTACTGGTGACACTTGGTTTTGAAAGTTCTTCCACAGAAGAACCAGCTGAATCCCAGCCCAACGGACCAGATTCAGAAGGAATTGGGGTTCCTTAACACACGCACAGGGAGATACTGAAACACAGCCTCCGTGGCCTGCCGTAAGGATGTCGAGAGCTGGGCATCACCTGAAGACAGGTCGCACTGTAATTCGACAGTTGCCTCCTCCTGACGCGCAGCTGGAGCGGGCGCAGGTTGGTGTTGCTTTTCAAGCCGGCACGCAGAGGACAAGCTGGTATTTCGAGGGCAGCGTCGAAGCGAACCCATCAGAACGGCTGCCTGCTCAGCCTCCTGCCGCCGTGCCCGTGGGGAACAGACCACGCAACAGGCGATGGGCTTTCTGCCGCTCTCCTGTGCCCGATGGGCAGCCACGGTGTCTTCCATTACAAAGAATTTAAGAAGACCACAGGCTGCTGTTTCTCACACATACTTGGGCTAAACTCTTGGACAGTTACAGGGGAATATGCAGGAAGCACTCTGATTCATGAACTCTGTTTGTCCACAAATTACCTTCAATGTATCAGCCAGGAGAGCAGGAAAATGGTCTCAGCCTAACAAAGAACGACAGGCCAATTTTTGGTCATTATACAGCAAACGTGACGTTTCTACCTACTCATACCGCAAGCACCACTATATTCAGACTTTGACCTGTTCAAGAAAACTGGAAAAGTGACTAACGTTTTGGCAGTTTGCAGTTCTATTCCATCCCACACTGCTGGGATGCATGGAGGGAGGAGTAGTAACACAATTCCCAAATGCACTGTTAAAATCACTTAATAAATGAGACATTAAAAAAAAAACCAAACAAACCTCTACCACCAGCCTGCATTATTTGGCCTCCAGTTGCTTCCCCTTTCAAAAACAATACCCAGAGAAATTCTGTGATAAGTAACAGGCAGAGGTAAGAAGTACATTCTTTTTAAATGCCCGAAAAAAAATTCAATTACCTAATGACAGAGCCAATTTCTCACATTCTGAGGTGACTCCTCAGTGAAGACTAAATATTTAATCCATTCTAGAGCAAAGAAGAATAGGATCTCTAAGTAACAAAGCCTAGTTCTGGCTTGCAGAGCCG